CCAAGCTAGAGCTGTGTCCCACCCACCCACCGTGGTGGTAGAGGTGAGGCGGTGAGATAAGATGAGGCACTGGTCTGTGGCAGTGACAATCAGGGTGTAGCGGCCATGGCTGATCTCGTAGTCCAGCTCCTTGGTGGCAGTGATGACGCCCTGGGGACACAGAAGGGACAAGGGTGGACCTAGGGCTGGTAGGTCTGGGGTGCCCTCTGACCAACCCAGGAAGCAGGCCCCGACATCCTGGCCATGGCGGGAAACTCCTCTGTACCAGGCCCCACCCACCCTTCTCATCCTCCCACACTGGGTACCCACACAGTGTCCTCCTGGGCTCTGTCTTTGCTGCGTCCCCTCACGTCACGGCACTCCCCACCAATCCCCAGAGAGGCTTCGCCCCTCGTCCTGACCCTGCTGCCGGCTGCTGACCGTGTGTCTGTCGATCCGGAAGGTGTTGATGATGTTGCCTGCGACGATGGCGTAGGCAACTGTGCCGTTGGGCCCCTCATCCGGGTCCAGCGCCTGCACGGTGAGGAGGCTGGTGTTGACTGTGTCCGGGCCCTCATCTAGCAGCACCTCATACTGGGGCTGCTGGAACACGGGTGCGTTATCGTTCTCGTCCACGATGGTCACGTACACGTGTGTGGTGGCCTGTGGAGAAGAGCACAGTCAGGTCCGTGGTCAGGTGGCTAGAGGGACTGAGGTGGATCTAGATGGCTGTTCTCCTGGGCTGAACTCAGTGTGGCTCAACACGGGGAGGGAAAGGGAGAAGAAAGCATGGAGGGGAGGGAAGCCACGGGCTGGTAGAAAAAGGAAACATAGAAGCTCCACCAAAAGCCAAGCTAGGTAACAGCTCAAGTCCAAGATGGCACTTGTACCATCACGCCTCTGTCCATGCCCATGGCAGACAGCACTAATCAATCACAGCACTGCTGATGCCAGGTGCAAACTCAGGGTCCTTGTCTGCACAGTGATGTAGTGATTAAAACTGGCTTATGGGATGAACCCCAGTCGTCACCCTAGCCCAGAGCTGTGCCTGGGCCAGGGCCCTAGTGGTCCTGAGTCTCCTGCCAGACTCCAAGAGGCAAGAATGTGAGGCACTCAGCCGAACACAGTATTTAAGCTTTACCTATTGTTCATGTAAATGGAAGAAATACATATTTTCAGCATTTTTAAGAAGGAAGACATTGGGTTTATGGCAGAATTTGTTGAGCTGTGAAAAATAGAACTCACTGAACATGACTTTGCCTTAAGAACAGTCTCTTCAACATGCTCTGTGACTGGCCATCTCTGGCCGATGCTTGGGCCAATCGGACCACAAGCAATATTCAGCTGACCAGAACTCGGTGATCGGCACTCAAGAACGAACTGGAAACAGCTGGTGTGGCACCTCATGAGCAGAGTAGAAAGTGGACACAGATTAGCCATGTGCTGGTACCCTTGTCCTCATCTTCCTCTCCCTCCCTGCCACCCTCTGCCTTTCTCCGCCTGGGAAGATGTCCCCTGGGCACTGCCTGCCTTACCCAGGCTCCCCTGCTGTCTGGCTTCTGGACGGCTTTGGTCCGTGGGAGGTCCTGGCAGAAGACAGGGGAGAAAGGGAGAGGTGGGGCATTCTTCCACACTCGCTCCGTTCCCCACTGCAGTTCTGCCAGTGCCTGCGTTTCTCCTGCTGGGGGGCCCCTTTCGCAGCTCCAGCGCTCACTGGGCTCCGGCAACACCACCTCCTCTTCTTTCCCTTTGGACACGTGGGCGGTAACAGCTTCCTGTGGTCGGCTGCTAGTCTCTGGGGCTTCACCAGCCCTCTCTAAATAGTCTCTCCATTAACTCTCTCCAGGTGAGTCCTTTCTGAGTGTGCCAGCTGTTTCCTGCCAGGACCCTGACTAATACAAGACATAATTAGTGACTAATATAAAATAATAAGGTGATAACACCTGCAAAGATGCTTGGGTAGAGAGAGAATGTGACTAGGCCATTGCCAAGGCCAGAGAACAGAAAACAGCTGGCACAAAAAGCTGAACGTGGACAACTTGTGTACAACTTTTTCCTTAGGCCTGTCTGGTTCTAAGAGGTCTGGTTCTGGTGAGGGATGGACAGATGGGCAGGCAACCTGGACCCAAAAAGGGTGTCACTGCCCCTGAGGAGGTGACAATTCCTCTGACCTGTGGCTCTGGATCTTGAGGGCAAGGTGTATTGGGTGGTTGCTGAAACTATTTCCAAAGCAGGTAGGGTCGGCAGCCTTGAAATGGAGCGGCGTGACCTTGGGCAGGTCGCATCCCCTCTCTGGACTTTTTCTGTCTGTTAATAAAGGACCTGGCTTGATCTCTAAAGTCTCTTCTAGCTCAGACATTCTGGGCTCTGGTCTGTTGCCATCAGCCATGTGGACGAAATCCCCACCATTAGAGAGGCGCATTCCTTTGGGTTGCAAAGCCTCAACGAATCTTTATCAAAATAACAAGCATATAAGGAGGGAAATGCATTACCTTAACATTTCTCAAACTTTTCCTCCAAGAGAGGAGACGGAACTCGAACAATCGGGGGAACAGCCTGAACTGTTTGTCTTAAGAATGAAATATCTTTGAAATCTCTCATGTTCTCATTGAAAGCTCATATGGATCCTACATCCTTCTTCCATAATGTGTTTGTGTTTGTTTTCATTAAAAATAGTAGGGGGCCCCAAATATTTGAGTAAAAATGACTGTCACAGAAAGCTAGCACATTTATCTGGTGGCGCTGCATGGTCCTGGACGCAGCTGTGAGCTGTCACCACCCGCGTGAGCCCAGCCTTGAGTGCTGAGCCCCTCCACCTGCCGGCGGGAGCACAGGGGCGCCACCTGCAGGAAAGGGTGGGATTGCAGCCTCACCTGGGGATGGAGGTGCTGGCATTTCCCACAATCCCAGACTCACCTACCAGACCCCCTGGAAGTGTGTCCAACCATGGTGGCAGCTGCAGGGGTTGGGAGTGGAGGGTTCTAAGAAATTCATCCTCCGAGCCCTCTTGCTCTGAGACTAGACCTGGGCTTGGTGGGGGAGGTGGGTCTGACTTCCTCTGGCCTCTGGAGTGAGGAGGAAGTCAGTGCCCCAAAGGCCCTCTCAGCTGAGCCCTTCCTGCTGCCCTGGTGTTGAGGAATCAGTGCTTGAGGTTCCTGAACATGCCCCTTGGGCAATACCTCTGTCTTACCCTGACACAACCCCAGGAGGCTCAGTGGTGGGCAGCATGGTGGGGAGGAAGGAAGTGGGAAGGAGGAGGGGACTGGGCCCAGCTCAGGTGCTCTAGCCCCCTGGGGAGGGGTTGGCAGGGCAGTTGCTCCTCTCCCTCTGATCCCAGGCTCCCCCTCCTGCCAGGCCCTGGGCAAAGGGAGTCTGGTTGTAAGGGTGGCATGGGCAAGGCCAAGCCAGGAAGTGTTGAGGGGGGTACTCTAGGGTCTCACCCCTGAGTGACCCCACCCCACCTCTGCCAGAAGATGGCCAGGTGGGAAGAGCGCCCAGCGTCTACCTGATCTCAGTTGGCTTTGTACCTCCCCTGGTGGAAGAGAGCTCACATTCTGCCAGCAGAAGGGGCCCTGGGCTGTCTCCCAAGGTGGGGTCATAAAGTCAGGACCATGCCCAAGGACCTGGAGTATATCCTGGCAGCCTCTAGGCTCCCAACCCAGGGCAGTGCCCCAGTTCCAGGGGGCCTGGGCCTGTACAAGCCCACCTAGTACACATGACACCCTACCCTTCCTCTGTTATAGCCGTCCCTGGCCCCAGAGTGAGGGCTCAGAGCCCTCAGAGAGTCTGTGACTTGGATCAGGCTACTCATGGGGCACCCCAAATTCCGGGCTCCTAGTCAGGCACTACCTTGCTTCCTGACCAGCTGGACTCTGGCTGTCTTCTGTCCTTCAGCCTAAGGTCGTTCAGGGGCCAGCAACCCCCCTGGTGGCCTCAACCAGTCTGGGGTGACATGGGTGAAATGGTTACACCCTCCCACTCCCCAGTGCCTGGTCCCAGCCATGGTCACCTCCACTCCTCCGTCACACACTCGCTTATTCATGGTCTGTCCATCAGATAGGAGTGCACTAAACACCCTCTCCACACCCAGCTTTGTGCCAGGGACTCAGAAACATCAGGGAGAGGCCGTGGTCCCCAAAAGTGTGTAGTCTAGCTTGGGAGGCAGAAGAGCCAGATGATGAACCAACCGTTTGGTAACCTCAGGCCTGGTGTGACAGCCGCAGGGACTGGGTGGGGGTGAGGGGAGGCTCAGGGCACTTGGTGAAGGTGAAGGACTTGAACTGAGCCCTGAAGGATGAGAAGAATGTGGAGAGGAGAGGAGAGACACCCCCAGTGATGCTGGCAGTGCCGGGCGGGGTGCCTGAGAGCGTCCTGTGGGTCTTCAGGGCACCAGGGGGTGAGAGCTGGGGATAGGCCTGAGGGCAGCCGAGACGCACCAGCAGATGCGTGTGTCCTGGGGTAGGGCGTGCCCAGCCTGTTGCGTGCTCCGGCACCCGTTCTGTGTGTGCGCACAAGGGTGTCTCAGGCTCTGAATCTACAGTCAAGCTGGCTCCGACTTGCCAGCTCTTCCCGATGGCAGATTCCATTCGTTCATTCATTCATTCATTCATTCACTCATTCCACAACTAGGAGCGCCTTCCACGTACCAAGCCCCGGGCTGGCTGGAGGAGGCAGGGTACAAGTCCCTGTCCCCAGACCACTCAAAGGCTGGTGGGTGAGGGCAGATACACACTGGGATAACCTGCGCCAAGCTAGGTTAGACACAGATCTACTTAGGCGGCACAACAAGAATCCTCTCCGAAAAGGACAGGGGGGCTTTAAACCGGCGACTAAGTAGCGCCGACTGGCCCGCACGCGCCGGCCGGGAAGCCCCTCCCGCCGGGCCCTCGGGGAGGCAGTGCGCCCTGCGGCCCCCCGGGGGCGCTGCGGGGCCTGAGCGCCGGGCCGGGCCGCCCGCCGCGTTCAGTCGCTCGCACTCGCTCGCGGGAGGTGTCCCCGCGCCGGCCGCGTCCCGCCCGCTCCCCGCGCACCAGGAGTTCCCCTGCGCGCCCGCGCCCCGCTCCTGCCCGCAGCGCCAGACGCCGCTCCGCCGACGGCGACATGGGCGTCCTCGCGGCCCCCGAGGCCGGCAGCCGGCGCTGGGGGCCCCTGCTCCTCGCTCTCTTCCTGGCTGCGTCCCGAGGTAAGGTCGGGGGAGGCTGGGCGCTGGGGAAGAACTCTGAGAAAGGACAGCAGGTCGGGCTGGGGGCCGCAGGACGGGCGCCTCCTGGGAGTCCCCTCAGCTTGTTGTGACCGTGCACCCTACTCCACCCACTACCCGGAGGCTGCTGGGACCGCTGGGCAGGGAGAGTGGCAACTCTGCCAAGTGCCCCAGCTAGGCACTGGGGCATCTGCACGCTCTGACAGCTGCCCAAGCAGCAGGCAAGGCTGTCCCCTAAGGGCTGCCTGTCCAACCCTTCCCTGCACTGAGAGCCCAGGACACAAGTAGCTTTTCCCGAGCAGGAGAGGGACAGGGCAGGGGCAGCCCGTGTGTTCTAGTGGATGTGACAGGCTTTTGACAGCCAGCATCTCCCTGCCCTTCTGGCCTTAGGGCTCCAGAATCGCAGGGGTGCTGTCCTCTCGCCAGTGCCTGTGCCTAGGTGACACTTCTGGCTGACCCTTGGCGGGCACTGGTCCACTCCCAGTTATGGGCAGCACTACCCCCCGCCCCATTCTGAGGGTCTGGTGGCTGAGGGTAAGCGGTCAGCTGATCCCTGCCACCCTGGCGAGGCTGCAGTTCAGGGAGCAGTGTGGGACACTGGGAGGATGCAGGACATCTCCCAGCTCAGCACGAGCCCCTTCAGGGTCCCTGGGTAACTCATAGCATCTCTCTGGACTCAGTTTCCTCAGCTCAAACACAGAAGCCCCACTTTCCCCTTCCAAAGTCCAGACTGTCCAAATGGTACAGGGGCTCCCAGGGTGAGGGCAGAGGCCCTGGGACCCCCTGCCTGGCCCTGGTTCTTGACTGCCTGGAGCCGAAGAGCCTGGATCTCAGGGAACAGGGGGCCGGCAGGCAGCCCACGGAACCAGACTTTATGGGAAGGGCCCAGGGAAATTATGAGTCATGCAGGAGTCAGAGGCAGGCAGAGGGCTTGGCAGAGGGACCCAATGGGCGGGCTGGAAGAGGAGGAGAGGGAGACGGATGCGTGGGAGAGGAGGAGACTGGGAAAACCTGGAAGACACCTCAGAAACAAACTGGGGTGCCTGCTGGCAATGTGTTATTTCAGCACTCAGAGGCTGGCCCTGCACCTGAGGGGCTCACAGCCCACAGAGCGAGCTGCCTGAGATGCACCCCAAGATGATAGCCAGAGGGAAGCGAAGAGCGAGGGGGTGGGGGTGGACTGGGGCAGTCTGGACACCAAGGCCATGCTCATGTCAGGGCATGGCTTCTAGAAGGAGCAGGGGATAGTGGCAGGTAGGAAGACCAGCACTCTATCCTCCATGGGCCACCTGCCCTGCTTCATCCTCCCCAAGTGACCCCTTGAGGCCCTTCCTCTTTTCTTTGCCCCTTCCTGCTCTTCTTAGCAGGGCTGCTCTCTGTTCAGCAGCCCATCTGCAAACTGAGTTCTAGAGGCCCGGAACCCAGCGTGTAGAGTATCTGGTAGCAGATCAAAGCTCCTCACCCTATATTGCCCCCAGACTTAGGAGCCTTCACTCCCAGAGGTCTTGGCTACTCACACAACTTGGTGCACCAAAGGGCCATCCCTTCCTGGGTCGGGCTCAGGAAGCTAATTAGGGCTTGATGTGGCTCTCCGCTGGAAGGAGTCAGGAGCATTCCCCTAGTTTTAAATTGCTCTGGGACGCTTAACTATAACATAAGCACACTAATAGACATTCAGCCAACTACCTAGCACAGCGTGCAACAAGGGAGATGGCAGATGGAGGCCTGGTCGCAGGAGGCCAGGAGGGTCTGTGAGTGGGGAAGGATGCTCATGGACCTGCCGAGGTGCTGGGTTGCCCTGGGCACAGTTGCTAAAGGTCAAAACCTTTGTGCCTGGGAAGGTGAGATGGAGGGGCAGGTGCAGGCCTGTTCTTCCAGCTTTTGGGGCTGGGCCAGCACCAAGGAGAATGGTAGTGGTGAGTGTGGTGTTCAGGAGCCCAGGAGGCACTGAAGATACTCTTTCCTGGGCCTGACTCAGGGTGAGATGGGTGCAGGGGGGCACTTAAGGAGCCAGGACCCAGCAGACCCCAAGGGTGGCAGAGCCTCTTCTTCCCCATGGGCATTCCCAGGACGCGTGGAAGTTAATATCCTTGCCCTGTCTTTACAGGCTGACTCTGGAGTCCCAAACTCTGGGATTAGCACTTTCAAGCTCACAGGGGTGCACTGAGGCTAGGGAGGGAAGAACCCACCTTCCCCTTCACAGTAAGCCAGGCTGCAGGACCTTGTTGAGTAACCCAATGCTGCAAGCTCTGACGCAGCAATGGTCAGCTCTTAGGAAATCCACAACCCACTGCCCAGAGGCCCAGGAGTGGAAACAGCCTGAGGCCAGTCCATGGCATGAGACACATCTACCAATGCCAGGGACACCCAGGGGCCAGCAATACTGGGAGCCTCCTGCTGAGCTGGGCTGGTTGCTCCTATTTCTCCCCAAGCAGGGCGCAGGTTCTGCTGGGGCCTGACCTCCACGGAAGAGGGTGGCCCGGGCAAGGTGTATATTGTTGGGAAGCGAAAAGGGGCCACTTCCCTATATGCACACAGTGTATGGGGTCTTAGGCCTGAGCAGAAGGAAGGAAGGAAGGGGTCCTTGAGGAGGGACCTGTTGGCAGTGACCAAGTCCCACAAACTGAGTTTGAGGCCCCAGGCCTTAGGCCAAGCATTGATCCAGGGTCAGTCTGGCCTCACCAGAGGAGGGTAAGCCAGGAATCAGCACTGCGGCTTCCGAAGGGCCCATGGATTCCCTTAGCAGCAGTACTGGCACTCCCCAAGCCTTCCTGATGGCATGCTGTGGGGGTCGGAGAAGCAAGGGACCTGCGGGTTGTGTGCCCTGCACGCCAGGGCTTCTGTATAGCCCTTTGCTGTTTGGCTTTTGGCCATATACTGCTCTGTGACATTGGGCGAGTTACTCAGCACCCCTGAACAAGATCCCCCATCTCTAAAATGGGGGTGCTGATAGCACCTCCCTCAGAGGGCTGCCATGAAGAGCCGATGAACAAACACTTAACACAGCACCTGGCTTGTTGTGAATGCCGTGTGATACTGTTATGGCTTCCAGGGGCCACATGCCATTGGCTTCCCCTCTGAGCTCCTTGCTGCCTACAGGGCCCTGTGGTGCCCAGGGCATGGGAAGGCATTGGCTGATTTCTCTAAAATCCTAGAGTCTGAAGGATGCATGGGCAGGGTCCAACCACCTGTAGGCACCTGTAGACATTTACAGTCTGAAATGTCCATGGAGGTGCCTACAGGTTCTCCTGTTCACATCTTGCCCATTAGTAATTCAGTAATGAAGTTGCTCTGCTGCTCACCAAGCAAGCCCAGTTCCTTTGACCTTTCTGCGTTGGATCTTGTTTTCCACGGGGACCTGAAGTCAAGTCCTACCTCTGCTGTTCACTCATTGTGGGACCACATACACTTCCCCTTTCTCTGTGCACGGGCAGGCTGGGCGGCACGTTCTCGGCGAGGCTGACCTCTCTCTTCCAAAGGGTAATTCCATGATGGTGTTTCCCAAGCTTCAGTCATTTGCTGGGCACCTTTATGATTTCTGCAGTGTCTGCCTATTATCGTATTTACTTATTTTTCTTTAAATCTGCTCTTTTTTTTATTGAGTAGATTTTAAAAGGAAACTTTATATCACTGCTGTAAGTGGAAAGCCAGTATCACTGGCCATAAATAGAACAAAACCATAAAATACGTAATAGGAAAACCAAATAAGGGTATTAAATTCTAGTTGGAAACTTTAGCCTGGGGAAGGCTCTGAGTCTGAAACCTGCTGTTGTCCCTTGCAAAATAAAATAAAATAAAATAAAAAAAGGAGATCAGCAAGTGAGAGAGAGATGGTTTGGCGACATATTGGCATCAAACTGGGACTTTCACTTTGATGTAATCAAGACTGAAAGAGAATTGAAAAGGGAATAACCTTCTCTATATATGATTCAATGTTATTTAATGTTGTAAAACCAAAAGTAAAACTACCTATGTTTTGAGACGCTGCCAGGGAATCTGGGGCCCCCTCATTGGCCAGGCCATCTGTCCATCTGCAGGAAGGAGGCAGGGCTTCCAGTCCTGGCTACCTCCAGTCTCTAGAGAGCAGTCAGATGGCACCAGGCCCCCAGTAGCTGACTGCCTGGGTTCAGATCCTGGCACCACTACTTACTGGTTGTGAGACTCTGGACAAGCTACTTAACCTCTGTGCTTCAGTTCCCTCACCTGTAGCACGCAGGTGATGTGAGTACCTGCCTCATAGGGTGGGAGGATTAATTAGGTAAGTGAATCCACGTAAAAGTGCTCAGCATGACACTGGCACAAAGTAGTGGCCCCGCCACTGTTACTACCACTGAGCCTCCTGTCCTAATGGTAGGGGACAGAAAGACCTGAATCCGAACCTTAGCAAGTTTTTGCAGCATGAGGTCAGGAGGGCAGCTGGCTGGAGCTGGCAGCCTGGGGTGTACACAGGCCTCCTCGGGGCGGGCCTGGCGCTTCTGGGAGGGTCATCCGGAGAAGTGTCCACCAGCCCGGGCCTCTGGCCAGCTGCCCAGGCCCTCCCGGGGAGCACGCTGGCCTCCAGCCTCCAGCCCCGGATGCACGGATGCTTTCCCAAGGTGCTGGAAGCGCTGCTTCCTCCAATAGAGCCTGGCTTCCCCTTCCCGGCCTCCTTGGTCTGATGTGAATGGACACTTCCTGCAGGGGCAGGTATCAATAAACACATCTGAGATACCCTTTGTCCTCATGGGCCGAAGAGGCCCATGGGCAGACTTACTGGCTTTGGGCCCTCAGCCTTTGCCGCAGGGCACCTCCCTTCTTAGTGCCAGCAACTCTATCCTGATTGGTCCCTGTCTCTGTTTCCCTCTGTGCTCTGCATCTTGATAAAGACACAGCCAAGTCTTTCCCTATGGCCCCTGTGGACCAACCTGGGGGATGGACCCTGGTGGGGAGCTAGAACCAGGTCCTATGTCTCTTTGGGGCCCCCTGTGAGGCCAAGGACTGGG